CAATTCTTGTTGTGAAGGTCACGGTCTTGGTGGAAGCTGCAAGCAGAGAATTTATGGACATAAGGAAACGGAGGTGAAACCTTACTGTTCCTAAATGTGGCTCTGCAGAAGTCCAGGGCTCTGCAGGTTCATGCCGGAGGGGAACGTTACCCGTATGCGCTGGGGAGGAAGGTGGAAGGGTCTGACCTATCTCCTCCTGCTTGTTGGGTCTTCCCAGACGAGCCCTGGTGCTTTGAAAGGTGATTAGCTCAGAGACTGGACAGGCCATCCTGTGGTTGTGGTAATGGTGGGGATGGGCGGCTGTTGGCAGGTCCCACATCCACGGTGCTTGCTCAGAACGGTGGCTGACGGACACGGCGTAACTGTCCGCTGTGTCTTTAGGCACAGCTGGTGGTCTTCATCCGTCAGAAAAAAAAGGCAGCTGGGAGCTTCTGTCATGTCATGCAAGTATTTATGCTCTGCAAAAGGGAGCTTGGCTTATGCGTGTGCCCAGTTTTTGCAGCGGTTCCCATGTGAGCGTCTTGGTCGCCTTTAGTCCACGAAGAGACACAGCTTGGGAACGGAAGGATCTTCTCATCTTCTTTCTTCCCCCGAAATTCTCTCTTAGCCTCCCCTCCCTGTGGCCAGCACGGGCTTGCAGCACAGCCCGGTCATAGGGTTCAGCTACCCTGCTGTGGCTTTTCTGATGCCTAGATTTTGTCCGGTGAGATGTTTCCATGAGCCTGCCCAGTTTTGAGGCACGATCAGCTCGTCGAAGGGAAGGAGAGCAGCTGTGGGCAGCAACAACCGCACAGTCTGACTTCTCAATTTCGAGATTGCATCGGAGCTCTGTCAGATCAGCCAGATCGTTTTGTTGCAGCTAATTAGGTCTGTGGTAAGACTTGGAAGGATGGTTGGGTCATTCACGGGCCGGTAATGACCTCTGTGGCCAAACGAAATGTAACAGAGAGCAAATTGCAGGCTGGAGGGTGTCTGTGGTTTCTTCTAGCCCGGGTTGCGAGGAGATTTCGCCTCCCTCTACACAGCGTGGCAGAAACATCTGGTTACGCTGGCTGGTGATTCCCATGCGTTTGCGGATCAAAAGCACCGGGGCTTGGTGGCAAGCCACAGCGGGAAAGGGTTTTTGCCTTGAAATTGCAAGAATCACAGGATCATAGAACAGTTTGGGTGGGAAGGGACCTTTCAAGGTCATCTGTCTGCCCCCCCTGCCATGAGCACGGACATCTCCAACTCAAGCGGGTTGCTCAGAGCCCCGTCCGACCTGACCTGGGATGTGTCCAGGGATGGGGCATTGACCACCTCTCTGGGCAACCTGGGCCAGGGTTTCACCACTCTCCGTGTGAAAAATGTCTTCCCTATATCTCATCCAAATCTCCCCTCCTTTAGTTTACAACCGTTACCCCTTGTCCTGTCGCTACAGGCCCTGCTAAAAAGTCTGTCCCCATCTTTCTTCGAAGCCCTCTTTAAGTACGGGAAGGCTGCAATAAGGTCTCCCCGGAGGGAGGACAACATTTCTGGGGAGCAACGGGGGGAAGCCAAGCACGGCTGGGTCACCTGGATGGCAGGAGCCACAAGTTAAGCCGTTTCATTAAGGTTTTTTTTTTTTAATAGTTATTATTTTCTGACTGTGATGTAGGACCAAAGGTGGAGGCAGGAGGATGGATGGGACGGCATTGTTTTAAACTGCAACCTCTAGACCTCGAAAGGGTCCCCTCTAGGTATGGGAGCAGAGCACAGATGGTTCCAGCAGGTCGCTGGACCCCCATGTGGGGGTCTGCGCCTCGTGGGGAAAACTTACGGGATCCCCAGATCTGCAGGCAAGCTGGGAAAAACCTCAGGGGGTTTAGTTCAGCTGCCACGTTGTCCTGTCCGGCCTCTTACAAGCCAGAAGCGAAGGGGAGGACATGCCTTTGGGTGCTGACCCTTGTTCCTTGCTCGGTGGCAGCAGCCACGCGGGGGGTCCGGAACGGCGCTGGGGGAGAGCGTCTGGTGCGTCGTCAGGACTCGCCCGTGGAAACGTGGCCTGAAAGCACGTTGGCGTGGGGTCGTGCCAGGAGTATTTCAAACGGGGTTTGAGAAGTTGAGCTGCGATTTTGCTGGGAACAACTCACGGTAGCTCTGGCTGGGTGAGGTCCCGCTGACCTCCTCCATGCAAAGAGCTGGTCCCTGGGCCCAAGGGGAGGCGATGCTTCAGCCTCTCGTGCCCGGCGCCCCGTGGGCTCGGGTCACGGTGGTGGTATTCACAGCACCACGGCCGTCCCCGAAACATGGTGTCTTGTCTTCTACCGCTGTGAGCGCTTCATCTGAACTAACCAACGTGAGCGACGATCAGTTGCTGATGAGTCTGCTTTTGGTCACTCGTACAGTCATGATTTTGTTTTCTTTGGCCCCTCTAGATCGTCTCCAGCAAGAAAATAACACGGACTCTCCTTTTGGGGAACGGCAAGCCAGCTGGGAAAGGGACGATAACGGTACGGTTGCTCCTTTACGTTACCTACGGAGTGTGTAAAGGCGGTTAATAACCTGGTGCGCAATGCAGGACGTTCACCCGGGGCCCGGGGGGCTGGGGTTCAACCGATGAACATTCTTCATCGGTTGAGGGGCGATTCCTTTGCCAGCGATGGCTGGTTTTGTACGGGAGCTGTGCCGTAGCGACAACTCTCATAGCAGCGGCCACTGCGCCCGAGAGCAGTGGCCTTCCCACCACCGACCTCTTTAGTGATGTGTTTTTTTTTTTAAAAAATAAAAGAACAGACGAAATTTAGGTGCATCTCCCATCAGTTTTGGATCTCTCCCCTCTTACGGGTTTTGCGAGAGGCGCAGACGGGCAGCGAAGGCGCGGAAGGAAAGACCAGCAAGGAGTTAAACGTTGGTCAGGTTTAAAAGTGCTGGAAGGGTTTAAAAGCCCAGGACCCGGCTGCTGCAAGGGCATCTCCATCGCTGTTTGCTCCGGAGGCTTGGAAGATGCTGCCAGCTTGTCTCTCTTAGTTGCTGCAGTTAGTCTTGAAAACGCAAGAGGAAAAGCCGCGGAGGAGTTCACAAGCGGTGCCGGATGCCCTGTGCCATCCCTGAGGAGCCGGCTCTCGACTCCCTGTCCGACACTTGAGTGGGAAGTGCTGGACGAGGTGAAAAGTTTCCAGTCAAGTTCAAAGGTTACACGCTTTAAAAAGAAAAAAAAGGAAGGTCTCGATCTGTCACTAACGTGTCATTACAAAATCAAAGGGTCCGAGACGTCTACTTCATTTTGTACCATTGGGGCAATTTTCTGATCTGCTTTGGGTTTTGTTTTGTTTTTTTTTTTTTTTGCCCTGGCTTGGTGATGACAACAGGGTCATGGTGTGGCGGACACCTTTCCTCACCGCTTGGCACGGCACTGGAGCACAGGCCATGGACACCAACCAAGGAGCAAGCTTCTGCTTTGGACTCACTCATAAAAAACATGGAGTTTGGAGCCAAACCCTGCCTTCCTCATCCCCTTCTGTCTTGTCCAAGTATCCAGTTTCTTAACCGCGGTGCCAGAGGGCTGAATGCAACAGCAGAACCTCGGCTGGCTGGACGGGATCGCGTGGGGGTCCCTAGCTTTGAAGAGATGGGGAAAACCCCGAGGGGAGCCACTATGTTTGTAGAAGTCGATCCCAAGGTCTTTGCTGCTCACCTCTGGAGGCACAAGCGGTGGGGATGTTATTGTCCATGTTGGCCAAGAGAAGATGCCACCAGCAGCCTGCGGCAGCGTGGCGCAAGGACGTACCTGGCTTGCCTGCACGGTCTGGCTTTCACGTCGCCTCCAGCCAGCTCTAAAATGCTGGAGACCAACTGGACGCGCTTTCGTGGGGATCAGCAAAGGGCAAATTTCATCCGCTTCCCCACAGCTCCTCTTCCTCACACTGGTTTTGGTGCCCGTGCACGCCCGCCGAGGACTAGGCAGGGGAGGAAACCGACGCCGTGTCTTTGCAATAGGGAACTTCTGGCGTCGCGGCTGCGCGGGGCAGAGGGGGACATTGGGTTTTGCGTGCGATGGACACGTCTTCTGGGGACCAAAGGGCCGTGTCCTCCCTGGAAAGCCTGCTGGGGAGCTGCGGCTCGTCCCTTTGCCCGGCGGCCCAGGCGGATTCAAACGCTGCATCTCCGCCTCCTCCCCGCTCTCCGACGTGCCAGCAGCCTTCCGATCTGCGGAAAACCGTCCCCTCGGTTTCTGGGAGCCTTCCGAAAAGCCGTG